AAAAAAAAAAAATGTCTATAGATTAAAAAGTAATTCTCTTAGTCTACCTTTTTAATGGTCTTTTTACTGAAAGATGTACATTTTAAAGGAAATGTCACTAAGCAACAGGGTATTTAAAATTGTACAGAATTTACTCACTTTTTAAAGGAAGTCATGTTTACATGATAAAAACAATTTGTAGTGTAATATATGTATAACTTAAAAGATTCTAGAATAGACTCATTTCTAACAGATGGTCCTTATATAAGATTCAAGGAAAATTCATCTATGAAATAAGATTTCCACAATCCTTTAAGTCAAAGAAATTGAAAGAGGGACTTCGGGCAGGACACATTTGTGACCAAGTAATCATTTTATTTTGTCCAGAAATCTTTTAGGTAAACTTACTTCTTGCCTGCTCACTCCCTCTCCCAAGTTCCTATTGATAAATAACAAGGTAAATTTTAAATGTTAGGGGAAAAAAAACACCAACTCTTGGTATGTAATTTTGATTCCATTCCTATTATTCTCAGGTGTACATTAAGAGTAATAATTATCTTTTTTCAAATAAGGCCTGTTTGAAAAGAGAAGCAAAAAGAATTGGGTACCTTTATTTGCCTTGAAAAGAGCTGAGCTGTCTGCATTTTACAATCAGCATGCAGTCATGAGAATTCTTTTTCAGATGCTAAGTATGAAAGGTCATTGTACATATCAACAAGAGTGAGAAGAGAGGTTCAGCTTACCCAGCACCAAGACTCAAGTTAAATACCATAATCATGCCAGGCATTAGTTACCACTCAGTCTCTGTCTCCAGTCCGGAAACCAGTCTGCCAGAAGCCCAGATAGCTGGAAAAGCAGCCATGTTTTATCACACAAACTGATCCCAAGAGGCCAGCTTACAGGAAAATTATATGTATTACACATTAAGGAGGAAAAGTAATCCCGAATTTTACAAAGGTCTTTTTTAATTTTTTTAGATAACAAGAAACATATTTTGAAATTCAGTAATTAAAAATTATATGTATTACACATTAAGGAGGAAAAGTAATCCCGAATTTTACAAAGGTCTTTTTTTATTTTTTTAGATAACAAGAAACATATTTTGAAATTCAGTAATTAAAAAAAAACAATAAGAATTTAAAATGTTAACAGAGCACACAAGCCTATTCATTAACATCAACATAAATGAATTATTCTTTTTGTGTCTATGTAGACACAATATTTCCTGAGAAAAATTATGAGCGCCATTTTTAGTAGAATTGGCTAGTACGCATTTTAAAAACCCAATTGAAATGTTAAAGTTCATGGTTGCAATCTAAGAGGGAAAATTATTAACTCCTTCTTTGGAAAAAATAAAGTTTTAGAACTTTCATCTGAAGGGGAGTAATTAAAAAGACTGAAGAAACAATCCACATTTTAAAAAATATCCTTAAGTTCAATTCATTAACTAATTCGGTAATTTCTTCTGTAAACATGCTACTGTACATGTAAAATGTATGTAAGTTTTTATAGGACTCCTATAAATTTAGTAAGGACTAACAAATCTAATGAAGGCATAACTGTTGAAGAATAATGATGTAATGCCTGACAGCCTCTGAGTTGAAACTACCCACCCAGTTCCTTTGCCAATTAGAAATTGAACTTGAAATATACTTTAGGATGAAAGAGCTGCAAAGTTTACATGACTTCCAGAAAAATGAACATCATCTCCACCAATTATGACTATGTTTGAAATTATAAATTTAACATTCTCCACACTATGGTGTTTATATAAACTTATCACCTAGGAAATTTGTGTTATTCCATTATGAACAACTTATCTTTTCATATTAACATGTCACAATTAATTTTTCTTCCCCAAATAAATGCAGCTGGTAAAGACTTTTAAACTCATCCTAAGTGTAACTATAAATTCTGTCATTTGTGGAATGTACTTTGGTCCCAAGAAATCTCAATTATGTTAAGGAGGATATAAATATCTTGATGCGTATATACATATAAGTGTATGCTAAAAGGCTGCATAAATTTTACTTTTCAAACTTCACCATATACTTTTAATTTCTCGGTTTCGCCTGAATACCAAATGAAGTTTTTGTCAAGGCTAATGAGAATGATTTTTTTAAAATATAATGTTTCTCGGCAATTCAAAGCCTCTATACATATGTAAACCATCACCACTACTTATCTGTAATATTTCACTGACATAACTTCATATACTTTAGTTTCATGATAAAAAAGTGCTATACAACTTTAGATGCTATTACAAGCCCTCGGAAAATAAATTGAGGATGTACATAATATTGAATGATTATGTAATATTACTTTTAGTTGAAGCAAATTTTTTACTCTTATGGTTCAGTGCTAAATAGTTATTTATCACATTTTATAAAGTTTAACTTCTTTCCTATGCCACAGCAACCATTTGCTATCAGGACCTAATTAGGAGGTCAATTAGTGCATCGATATTGGAGATTTTCAACAGTCTATAGGTCATGAGTTTAATGCCACTAAAATTATTGTAAATTGGTTTCATATAGGCTTGATTAAACCTTTACATGGATGAGGTGGACAATTCTAAATGCCTTCTCAGCATCCATTCCCTCAACCTTTTTCTCCTGCCCAAATCTGTACTGGGTTCAAATACCCAACCATTCCTTCCATGTGACTTTGGGCAAGCTTGTATCACCCCATGCTGCAAGGATAGGTCCTGATAAATCCATATCAAACATATTAACACCGTCCCCCTTGCTATGAAGTGTTTCAAACATTCAAGCTTAGCCCAGCCAGTATATGAAATCTCTGTGACGGCTATTATTGGCCCGTGGTTACAGGAGAGGAGAGTTCCCTATCTGTGAACAAGCCTGTCGCCTTGGTGACTGCTAACAGCCATCTTACAACCACAAAGAACTCCAGGGTAGGGCAAAACTGAAATGCAAAGGAGCGTAGGGCCAAGAGAAATAGAATAACATAGTGAAAGCCTTGATCACATCCTACCTGAAGCCCACTAGCTCTGGGCTTTTTGCTATGAAATGTGATATATTCCTTTATTGTTTATGTCAATTTATATCAGATTTTGAAAGTTATGTGGCCAAGGACACCTGAAGCTATTTTTTTCTCTCTCTCTTTTTTTTTTACCAAAGGCAGTACTCCCAACAGTGACTCCTAATTTGAATTAAGCACATTATTAGAATTTACCATTAGTTACTCAAAATTACCCTCAAATCACAGCCCCAGAGTTGGCCTCCCTAACTGAAATCACTCTGGCGGAAAAAACTGAGATGCTTCTACTATTATTAGTTACATTTCAAAATATTACCATTCAAGTTACAGACGATCAAAGAAGAGCAAAACTATTATTCCATTAGAAAAATTTTCATTGAATAACAAAAAACTATACATTTTTACAATAAAATATAAGTCTTCAAAGTGAGGTTCTTGTTTCTCTTTTCTTTTCTTACCTCTTTCACACTGTGGACCAGTGAATCCATAAACACAAGCACAGCGGTTGGGTCCAATACAACGTCCACCGTTCTGACATCCATTTTCACAGACAGCTGCACACAAAAACAGCAAGAAGCTCTTTATAGAGGAAATCTCCAAATACGATATAGTAGTATGGTGATGCTGCCAGTAAAGGATCTTACATAAAATTACATCTCTAAAACACAAGTTACAGTTGGCATCATGCACATAAGTAAATAAATTTAAGCATATAATGAGACAAAAGCCTACACAATTTGTGTAAGCACATTGTTAAGCAAGCGTTTGATAACAGGTTGTTTTTATTTTTGATCAGAATCATAAGAATTGGATGGCTCTGATGCTTCCAGAGTTGCAATAAAACTACTCAAAATCCTCTATTTCCATAGGTAAGGAAGTGAATAAAATACGGGGAAATGAAAGAAAAAGGAGGCAGACTATAGGTAGCAGGGGAAGGGAGAAAGAGAGGAAAATGTGACATGGAAAAAATAAAGGTCGAGATGGCAATAATTATCCTGATTTGAGCATCACATATTGCACAAGAATATTGATGTTCAACTCTGTACCCCACAGATATGTACAATCAACTTTGTTACAACAAAAAAAATTAATTAAAAAAAAGATGAGATGGCAATAAAGGGAAAAAGCAATATTCAGACAAGAAAAGGGAGCCAGGAAAATAAAAAGGTAAAGTAGGAAAGGCAAGACCAACATGAAAAGTGGCAGAAAATACCATCAATAGCTATAAAATACCAAAAGGAGTAACCAATGTATAGTGACTACGTGCGGGTCATAGAATAAAAGAGAGGAAATGCATTGTGTCAACACAGTAAGTTCTTTCTTATAAATTAACCCACAGTCCATTTTTCTCAAGCCATGATGACAAACACACAGCACACACTCTCCTTCACTCCTTTCTACTTGTGTCCTGGGAGACCAGGGCTTGGAGCTCTGTAGGTCCAGACGCGACCTTGAGCCGCCCCCTGCTGTCCACTTCCCACTGCTCCTCCTGGCAGGGTCACTCAGCTCAGCAGTCAGGACCTGGGACAGGAGACGCTCCTACAAGATCACTGTCTAGAATCTTTGAACAACAAGCATTACCACTACCCATCCTGAGGACAGCTGAATTCAAAAATCATGTCTTCTCCAAAGAAAAAGTACTCAAGCTTCTCTGTCAGCCCACCCACCCTGTTGAACAGAAACACCCTGTCCTCACAGATAAAGAAGAGGAATATATTCTATGACTTGTGCCCCCCAAAATCCAGCTGAAGTTCACTAATTATTTTAAATTAAAGGGAAGTGAGGGGACAAAACACATTTATGTGCATTTCCTATCAAAAATGGGAAGGTGAGGACCGACCCATGGCGCACTTGGGCAGCGTGGGAGTGCAGCGATGCTCCCGCGGTGGGTTTGAATCCTATATAGGAATGGCCGGTGCGCTCACTGGCTGAGCGCGGTGCGGGCGACACGGTACCAAGGGTTGCGATCCCCTTACCGGTCACGAAAAAGACAAAAATAAATAAAAAAAATTTAAAAATAAATAAATAAATGAATAAAAATGGAAAGGTGAATAAGTATACTGATATCTAAAAATGCGATAATGCTGCTACTTCCTTGCCAAGAATATTGAACTGGATTACCTACCATCATCCAGAATGCATAAAGCAGCAACGCCAAAATGCACTTGGCAGCAAAGATATCTTCGTTGAAAGCATTTGTGTACATTTAGGCTTTGATCGACGGCATGATCCTGTGTGCTTTTGCACGAGTACATCTCCCTAAGAACCACACCTTTCTGCTGCTTCTGCCCCAAGCTGAATTCCACATAGCACTTTATCATTACATTGAAATATGGGGCAGGCAATAAATTAGATGAGTAAATATACAGGATAGGGAAATGGAATAAAGGCCATGAGGAGTGTCAGGAAGATGGGGGTGGACAGGAATGTGGAAGAAAACAAAAACCTATCAGAGAACTCTTTGTGTGTAATTCCGCAGAAACAATTGCCAGGATTTAAAGATTTCTGTTGTTAAAAGGACAGACTGCAAAAGGGTAACTCTAATCTAATGTGATTAATTAAAATGCGAGGAATTTTCTTTAAATGTTATCAAGCTGTATGAAATGTTATCTCATCACTATGCTGGCCTTCAAAAAAACACACATATGGGGAGAAGCAGTCTGGCACTGATGGTGACACTCAGCATCATCCTTGGATAAGTGGAAAAAGAGCTTCTCTCAGGATTTTCCAAAACAGCTTCCAAATCCTAGGTAGGAGAGCAGGGCTAGAGCTTCTCTCAGAAAGAGCTGGTCCATTACACGTTAAACCCGATCGAACCTGTCTAAGTTAGACAAATGATGCCTCCCTTCTCGCTACATTTTTTTGGAGGTTTGGAAAATACAGTTATTGTTCATAAAAAATATTTATGTTAACTGTAACATGGGTTTCATGTTATTTTGTGTGTGTGTGTGTTCCTCTCAACGCTTTTTTTATATTTTACACTTGGAACATAATTGATTATATATATTTATGGGGTACAGAGTTGACCGTCAGTATTTGTGTACAGTATGTGATCAAATCAGTATTATGAGCATGTTCATTACAAATCACAATCATTCTTTGTGTCTATTACTCAGTTTCTTCTTCCCCCTCCTCCCCCTCCTCTTCCCCGCCTCTAGTGACCATAGATCTATTAATAAATACTTTTCAAATCTCTCAGTTTTAATTTTGAATACTGCAAATATCAATAAGATAGAGCCCATACAAACAAAAGATCTTTGAGACCCTCAATAATTTTTTAAAATGTTAAGGGAACCTGTGAACAAGAGTTGAGCCCCATGAACACAACTATTTGCTTATTTTCCTCCCTCTCATGTGACAGTGGCCCTCCCAGGACAGTCAACAGTTTGCCTTTGAATGTTCATTGCCTACTGCAATGGTATTCGATATACCTACCGCAGGAATGCAGCAAAATCCTGCACCATGTCAAAATTTCACATCATGTTTTGACATTTTTTGAGGTAGAATAGTGCAGTGGACAGATCATGAGCTCTGCTGTCCCCAGCACCCCCAACTGCACCATCTCTGTGGTTCTCACCTTCCCTGCCCGTAAATAGAGTTAACAGTCCCTACCCCACAGGAGCTTAAGGATTAAATAAAATGATGCATAAAAAAAAAGTGCACAGAGATTGCACCTTGTTGGTTTCCTACATTCTTCATTCTCTTCCTCTTTTTACTACAGAACATTTGTATAAAAAATGAGACTTGTTCTATAGCATCCAAAGTTCACACTAAAAAGCAACAGCAAAAGAGGTGAAGCAGGAATACAGATAAAAGTAGAAGGAAAAACTGGGGCCGGCCTGGTGGTGCACTGGATAGTGCGCCGCTTGGGAAGCGTGGCGGCGCTCCCGCCCGAGGGTTCAGATCCCACATACAGACCGGTTCCTGCTCACTGGCTGAGCGAGGCGCGGGAGCAAC